AAAGAGTTTTGGGTTAGGATTGTTTCTAATCCTTCTTTCACGTCTTAATAGCCATGTGACCCTTAGTCGAGTCACTTTCCCAAGTCTCAGGTTCACCTGTAAAGTGGGGTACCGATAGCGGCCCTAGCTGCCACTCAGAGCCTTCGTGAGGGTCCTGTGAGGTAGGGGGCCTATAGAAAGCCCTGAGAAACAAAGCACCATGGAGGTTCCAAGTATTAGCAAAGTCCTAATACTGCAGAAATGTTTGTAGGTCAGCATCTTGGAACCGGTATCATTAGAGTGACCAGTTTTCAGCAAATACCATGTGGTATAGTGAGAGAAACCCTTTTTCTTAAGTATTAGACAGTAACTACTCAGACAGGGCGGATGGCTGGATGGATTGACATGAATCGTCAGATCCTGAAAGGACTTTGGTGAAACAGTTATTAGGTTGTCAGGAAAATCATGACGTATTTTTCTGTTTCTATGCAAAAATGTGTCATGGCTTTCCTGACGACCCAATAGAAAGATAATTATTTGCTCGTGTAACATTCAGTGGATGTGAGCTTAGGTGATGAGTTCTTATAGTATTTATTTCTTATGTATTCTGTTTGGAATTTCTATAAATAATTCCAGTAGACATTCATGGTTTTTCCTCTCTACGTTTCACCTGGCAAGGTGCTAAGACATTGGTGACAGTGGCTGGATGAGGAGAATAGACAGTTCTGTGGGAACACTGCTCTTCCTTGGGTGGGGAAGTTGATAAATATCAAGGGCTTGATTTCTTTTGTTCATGTAAGTATTTCAAATGTGACCAGTCATAGCAAAAATTGCAAAAATCAATCTTTTCTGTTTCTATGCAAAAATGTGTCATGGCTTTCCTGACGACCCAATAGAAAGATAATTATTTGCTCGTGTAACATTCAGTGGATGTGAGCTTAGGTGATGAGTTCTTATAGTATTTATTTCTTATGTATTCTGTTTGGAATTTCTATAAATAATTCCAGTAGACATTCATGGTTTTTCCTCTCTACGTTTCACCTGGCAAGGTGCTAAGACATTGGTGACAGTGGCTGGATGAGGAGAATAGACAGTTCTGTGGGAACACTGCTCTTCCTTGGGTGGGGAAGTTGATAAATATCAAGGGCTTGATTTCTTTTGTTCATGTAAGTATTTCAAATGTGACCAGTCATAGCAAAAATTGCAAAAATCAATCTTCTGGCATTCACATGGTTCTGGAATGAACTTCGAGGAGCTGATTGACATTGTCCCACTTAACTTACACATTACTTCTCATTCACCCTTCCCTAAGTGAAAGTATGTCACTAGGAGAGAAAAAACAGGGTTTATGGGGTTTCCACTAATTAATAGATTTCTCTTCTTTGTTAGTTCTTCCCAAAATAACAAGCTGTGTCTTTAATCATATCTCAAAACTGAAAATGTATAAAAGATGAAGCATTTATATAGAATGGGTCATTCTGCCATGTGATTAAGATGAGGGCATTTCAGACAGGGAGAGTACCCTCTCGGAATGCGATTTAATACATGTACTGTCTGCAATCCCAAAGATAATCATGAGTCCTTAAACTTGTCTTGGCTTATAGCTTCAGGTAGGGAAAACACTGCCAGCTTTTCAGTTGTCCCGTGTGTTGCTTTAGTGAGAGGTTTATAAGTGATGAGAAGGAATACTGCCATTTTTGCATTTCTACCGTCTGCAGCTAGCACTATCCCTACCTGGTCTTGCCAATAATCAGGGCTGTCCTTCAGGCAGTCACAGTGTTTTTATTCAAGCTTGTTGTTCTCCCCAGGGATGGACTGTTTAATGAATGATAGGCTTTATGTTCCACTGCGATGAGCCGAGGAGCCAGCCTGGGGGTGTCAGCAGGCACTGTGGTTTCTACAGGGCTGCCCTCTCCCTCCTCAGAGTCCAATCATTTAGAGTTGGAGCTGATAGAATTTCTTCCTGAATAGGTTTTCGGTAAGCAAGATGGTAGTGATGTCAAGGACAGCCTAAGTGGGCAGAACTCCATTGTAGTTGTGTCTCTTGAATGCCTGCCACCAGCCAACTTGACTGTGTAAGCCATTGGTAATAAAAATGTATAGAAGCATTAGTATAGTCAGTATGTTTAGCGTCTTGCCAAATCTTTAACATCAAAATGCGTTGTGATGAAGATGAGCAGTATGAAAGACCAAAGTCATTGGTGAGAACTGGAAAGGATCACCATCGTCATAACAGCTCATCTGTAATAGGGCTCACTGGGTGAGACAGTCAGTTTCCCTCGCTTGGACAAGAACGCCTTCTGGCTATTGGAATTAGGTGCTTGTTTTACGGTCCTTGAGAACTCATAATTGGCAGTTTACAGAAGAGAGCTCAAGTCTGACAGAAGATTGATGGCTCTGTGGTGTAAAAGCCTTCTGAAGTGTTTGTGTCAAAAGCAGCGAAAGGGGGCCGTCTGGGAGCAGTGTTTCTGTAGGCTCTGGGATGTTCTTGGTCTGTTCGCAGAGACTTTTGAGCCTTTTCATGAACTAGAACTATTTGAGGGCTTCTGTTAAAGACTGTGGAGGACAGAAGAATTTATTGTGATGTTTTTGCAAAGACAAGTCCTTTGTGAGTTCCCAGAGAACATTCGGTGATGGCGGCAAAAGAGAATTGTCCTGGGAACCCATGTAAGTCTCTCAGGCACAGGAGCAAGTCCCGAATGTGATCCCGAACAAACCGGCCCCCTTCCCTCTCCCCACCTCCTCAGCCTCTGTTAATAAACATACTGGATAAAGAAGCTTAAAAAGTTACCTATTGGGACCAGCAGATGGTGTAATGGTTATGTCGCTGGACTCCCACATGGCCGACTGCAGTTTGAGTCCCGAACCTGGAGGCTTGAAACTCACGCCGGGTGCATGTGTGTGCATGCCCAAAATCCTGCAAGGAGAAGGGAAGAGAAGGGATTGTGGCGTGGCCATCCCCCTGGGGGGATGATTTCTTGCTTTCTGTTTCTCTGGTGAGTGCACGTGCCCTATAGCAAAAATCTCTCCAAAAAAAAAGATTACCTATTATATCCTGACAACATACATTAATATCATGCCACCATGTACTATTACTGGAGGAGAGGAACAGGTCCCTTCTAAAGATTCATGAGAGCAGGTTAAGGAGCAGGATTGTGTGAAAGGAGAAAAGCCTTCAGTTTCTCACATGTCTCTGTGATAACCACAGCGTGCTCTGGCTCTAGCTGGGCCCTCGTGAAATGAACTTCCATTAACAGCGCCTCTTTGGTAGGTCACTCTGATGCTGCTACAGTAAAGCCTTAAGCGTGTTTTTGAGCCAGTGTGCTGCATGTTCACTTGAGCCACACACATGTTTGTGTTTAGGATATTGTGACTCTCTGCTATCCAAATAGTGTTTTTCTTTGGTGAATGAAGTAACTGCTGTCTTCCACTGTACCATCTGCCTAGCAGAACGATTGCTCCACACCTTCTCTTATGCAATAGCCCGTGGTACTTCTAGTATTTTTAGCAAGAGGAAATTTTCTACACAGGAATCCTCCACTGCCAGAACACACGATGCCAGTAAGGTTCTACGTAATAGTGACCATCTACGTAACAGACTATATTTCTTTGGGGTAGGACATTAACTTTTTACTCTAACACTCAACTAATAATAAGCAAAAATAATGATATCCAGAAGCACAGTTTTAACTGGGATCTTGAAAAGGTCATGTTTTGTGAGGCTTACGGATCTCTTTAAACTAGGTAAGTAGGTTTATACGACTTAACTTCATATTAGCCATATTTTTGGTACCCCCTGCATTTTGAAAAGGAGAATTTTCTGAAACAAGCAATGGGTGATGAGAGACTTTTGCTTGAGGCACCTGTTTGGAATCTGGTTTTCTCAGCAGCTGCTTGACAAGTTGCCATTTTAGATTAAACACTGCAAAGGCAGGGGAGAATGAAAGCCATGCTCAACTTAATACCCAACAAAATTCAGTATGTTCGTGTGGATGTTTGCTGTGATTAATATAAACTATTTACAGAATCAGCCACATTTAGTCCTGTTGCTAATGGACCGTTACCCACACCTCAGTGGGCACTACGTTTTCTCACTGTAGTAGCAGCAGCAGGTTAAAGACTGAATAGTTATGAAGCTCTGGACAAAGTACCACCTTACAGAGCTTGCAAGTTCAGCCTGTGTGATCCATTGGTCTGGGTGATTTGATGGTTTGAGTTGTTAGGATTTTTGAGCCTTCTTGTTTGATTACATTCCTGGGTCTGATGTTTGACTAAAGGAAATCCAGAAATATTGATTTAATATTAAATTTAATATTTAATATAACCGGCCCAACATTAAAGGGGATTTCTGAAGCCATCTCTGGAGGCGTGGGCTAAACATTTTGCACTGTTTTTATATTTGTACTCATATTCTCCTTATCACCTCAGACTCAGACACAAGGCCTTTTAAATGGAGATTTTACAAGTTACTGCCATTTATGTAAAATAATGTCCTGTGACTACGTTGTTTAAATGGAAAATAAAGTGCTTTATCTTAACAAAATAGTTTTGTTCGTTCTTGGTATGTTTCCTGAATGCTCTTAAAGAAAACCCTGCATTATAGCCGTGCTGCCTCTTTGGCTACTGCGAGGTTCTATTTGATGACCAGTCTTAGCCCTGTCCTTTTTCCTGGTGGTTATTTTTCTAGTTTTGGAGTCAGAAATATACTGCTTATTCAGGCGATATGGTAGCAGCAATCATTCCTTTTTTCTTTTTTAATTTTTATGATTTCTTTCAGAAGAGAGAATACAAACACACATATGTCATAGAGAAAGACACACCCACACACACACACCCTCGACAGGATACTGCCATACTGCGACCCCATTTCTCCAGCCTCCTATATAGTCAGGATCTTGGGCCCTATTTCAGGTTGAGTTGTGATCTGAACTCACAGTTGGCCATGCAGCTTCCAAACTGCATTCTGTACACTGCCATCACGGCTGGGCCAAACAGTAACATTTCTAATCAAAACAGTCTAGCAGGAGAGCCAGCAAGTGGCATAGTAGTTAAGGTGCTGGGCTCTCACATGGCCAACCATGGTTCAAGTCCCAGACCCGGCAGCCTGACAATCATCCCAGGCACGTGTGCATGCGTGCCCAAAATCCTGAGGAGAATGGAGGATGGACTGTGGCATAGCCAGTCTCCTTAGGGAGGTAATTTCTTACTTTTCCTCTCTCTCTCTGGCAAGTGCAAATGCCCTTTGGTAAAAACCTAAAAAAAAAAAAAAAAAATCCAGCAAGACACAGACACCAAAATTATTTTCCTTCTATAAAGAGGCTTTCGAAAAACTTGGAAATACATATGAAAAACTGGAATATCAAAAAACAAAATAAAACAAAACAAAACAAAACAACCACACAGGGTCTTTAACTTACAATTTAAATTTCATTTTCAATGAGCTTTTTGAAGATTTAGAACATTCTGTAAGGTAAACTGGCCCAACCAAGCAGAGCAACATAGGCTGCTAAAGACTCAATTTCTAGTTGATGCTTGAGGCAAAGCAAAAATAAAGCTTAAGAAAGACAACTGAAGCTTTATGAGATTTGTTTAGGCTCCTGGCATGCTTGCTTAAGAACTTCACTTATTCTTACCTACAGGTTTGGCATTAAAATAAAATTGGCATTTCGTTTCTGTGTGCTAGTATCAGCCAATACTCTGTAACTAGTGAAGTACAGGTAGTAATTCAAATAGAGATTCAGTATGAATTACTCCCATTTTCTTCAATGGCCATTAGTCTCAAAAACACTTGAATATATAATATGAAAATGTATAATAATAATAAAAAGATGTGAGGGAACCGGAATATTGTAGAAGAAATAAAGTTCAATTGAAAGTGTTGTCTTATCTTGGTAAATCATCACACGTCTTAATGGAAAAAGTCATTTTGCAGGTGGTATAGCTAGATATCACTTCTCGGAAGTATGAGAAAATAACAGGAATATTCACGGGAAGAACACAGAATTTTATTTTACCAACTCAAATTTTCAACATACCAAATAACATTGGTCACCTCTAGGCTGGAAGGGACATTCTTATTTTACTGTGTGCATTCATGGACTACTTGAACTTGTTATAATATGTAGTTTGCAATGAAAAGTTTTTTTCTAGTAGCTAATTCTCTAAAAAAACATTCACAGAAGAGAGCATTGTATTAGCCTTATGAGCATCTTAAAGATTAAAACATTTTTGATTCAAGTATCTTAACATCTAGATCAACTGAGGTGGAGCCTAGACAACAAATCAGATGTATTACTTAGAAGTTGCAGTTGGGAACATGAACAGACATTTTAAAGAGCTGCTGGATTGTCTTTATAGTTACTTGCTTTTGAAATTTCTTGCTTATCAAGGTGCACTGAAGTACCTGCTGCCCTGGTTTCTCTGAAATCAGGATATTCTGCCACCTTCTGCAGCAGCTGTGTAGACTACCTTTTGAAACATGGTGCCATCAGGGTGGTCAAAGGGACGGGGGTCTGGTGACAGGATGCCTGTCACTGATGCTGAGATACTAGAAGACTAACCACCTAAGCCACCTTTCTAAGGACTCATCGCTTTTGATATCTGTTTAATTTCAGTTACAGTTGTCAACAACTCACATTAAGCTGTAAGTCATTTATTTTCCATCACAGGCTCAGACTGGCTAACAGTAAACCTATGTAAAGTGTTCTAGCCTAAAAATATACAGGAGATATCCTGAACAGTGGAGCTCGAGCCTATTTTTTGGATGATCCCACTGTAATAAATGCTATAGTGAATGAGTAGCAGTCCAGGAGACATCAAAGAAGTATAAATTCCAAAGTAAGTCTTCGGATGCAAGAAGTATCTCACAGCAAATAAACCAGGTCTATACATGTACGCGGGTGGGTAGAGATAACACATATTACGGATCGGTAGATTCCAGTCCTGAGCACTGCACTAGTCTCTGCTCTCTGGCATATCAAACACTTCTCTTACTCAAGGGCCGGGTATCTGACTGCTGGGACAATCATAGTCACAATGGTGCTAGCTTCCGGAAATCTGGAAGAATTTCAGCAACCTTCCTACGGAGTTGCTCTCGCCTTTCTTCTTTCCTCTTTCCTCTTTCATAAATTTTGTGAATTTCTTCCATGTCTGAAATGTGATCCAGAGAATCCTCCTTGAAGAATAAAGAGAAAAAAGAAGTACTAAGGAAAAGTTGACTTTCTACCTGAAAAATAGCAAGTTTATAAAAGTAATTCTTATGTGAAAGAAACATTATATAAAAGGTGTGGAAATAACAGTTGGGATTCAAATGGCATCTAATGCTCTGAAGAGAACAAAGCAAGGAAGCCAGGTATAGTGGGATGCACCTGCAGTCCCAGCTATCTGGGGCTGCCAGGAGGATCAGGACACACAAGACCATGTCTAAAACACACACACACACACACACACACACAGGGTCTTAAGTTCATGGGAAATGCACATTATGAGAAACTCATACATGAATTTCAACTTTTTTTGGGTACTAAAATAAACTCATACTTTAATTCCATTTTCCCCACAAACTTATAGAAATCTCCTTGTAAAGCAGTGAAAGGGGATGAGAGTGATTGATAGGATGGTTATTTTTATTTCCCATAAGGTGGCCAGGGAAATCTGAGGAGGTGACATTTGAGCAGAGCACCCAGTGGCTCTGATGACAGGCTCTGAATCATGCCTCATCGATCTGATCACAGCCTGTATATTGGGCCCAAGTCAGAGCCAGCGGTGCCAGCAAGGGCTCCAGCAGCCACGGCCCTCAAGGAAGAGATGCAAGAAACATGCCACAGTTACAGGCACTGAGAGCCCCCAGTGCTCAGACAGTTTAAAAAGCCTTCTTGTAACCTCACCTCTGGTCCTCAATTTCAGTTGCAAAAGTATGTCCTAATGTCAAGTTCTGGGAACATGATTATGAGAGTTGAAGCGGAGTGTCTGCTGACCCAGGGAAGCATGCGGTGGCCCGTTGGGATTTAGAAGTTCCTACTGCCACTGAACTCTTAGTGTGGCCATAAGCAGTCTTGGCCCACGAAGGCAGAGACTGATAAACAGATGGTCTGCATCCAGCGGTAGGTGCAGGGGTGGAGACGGGCACAGAGATGACCAGTCTGGTGGCCAGAAAAGTTTTTGAAGGAGATGATATATATTTTATTTATTTATTTTTTTTGGGGGGGAGAGGTTTTTGCTATGGGGTGCGTGCGCTCAACAGAAAGAGAGACAGAGAGACAGAAAGCAAGAAATCACCCTCTTGGGGGATGGCCATGCCACAATCCCTTCTCCATTCTCCTCTCTGGATCTTGGGCACGCACGCACACACGCCTGGCCAGAGTTTAAGCCACCAGGTCCGGGAATCGAACCACAGTCAACTACGTGGGAGTCCAGTGACATAGCCATTACACCAATTGCTGGTCCCGAAGGAGATAATATTTGAACTGATTTTTTTTTTTTTTTCTTTCAGGCAAGAAATGTGTCCTAGAAGGGGCATGTGGTAAGGGAGAAGAGGCAAGAGGAGCATGCTACACGTGAGGAGTTACAAGTGGAGTTGTGTTGTTGAAACAAAAGTGCAGGGCAGCTGGGTTTACATTTTCATGACTAGAAGCAGATATGAGATTTGCTCCAGCCTCTTGACTATGTATCGAAGCCCTAAGATGCATCTCAGTCCTCCTTCAGTTTATGGCTGTTGGTTGGTTAATGTTATTGATAATACTGAGTTTTTGGGTGGAGGTACTGCTTAGGAAAAAATTAAAAAAAAAAAAAAGAAAGAAAGAAAAGAGAGGGCTGGCCCCATGAGTCAGCTATTAAGGGAGCTGGCTGGCAAGCCTGAGGAATAGCCCCTACAGCTTGAAAAACAGCATACATGGAGAGGAAAAAGGATTGCAGTGTGACCATGCCCCACTGGGAGTACTTTCTCACCTGCTCTCTGGTGAACACATGCATCCTTTAGCAATGATAGTAATTTAAAACTCTAAGGAATGGAACTGCTTCATTGTTTACTTCTTTTATCCATTTGGTCCATCCCTAAGAGCTTCCTGTCCTTGGCTGTATGGCCTACTCCCAATTCTTGACCCCACTCTTACCTACTACTCACACCTCTCTTGGTTGCACTTCAGTTTTGTAACTCATTTTAGTTCCTGCTGTTCCACCCTAACTAAAATACTCTGCCCTGGGGGTAGCAGGTGGTGTGATGGTTAAAGTGCTGGACTTCCACGTGGCTGACCATGGTTTCGAGTCCTGAACCTGATGGCTTGTTTTCTCATTTCTCTCTCTGTCTATCTTTGGTGAGCACACATGTCCTGTAGCAAATTAAAAAATACTAATAATGGTAGAAGATTCCTGCAGCTGAACTGTGAACTATTCCTTTCAGGGACTAAAACTATTGAAGATTTTCTGCTGAGATTTCACCCTCCAGACCCCAATCTAGAGAGTGCCTCCACACACTGAGTGTCTAGATAGGTCTAAATGAACAATAACTAAACATCTGAACACTGTTAGGGTCAGAATATTCCTTAATTCTCATTGAATCTATCACACAAAGGGAGAAAAATAGAACTACAGAGAGATTGCAGATCACCTCCTCCTGCATGTCTCAAAATGCTCAGATTGAACTTCAAGAAATTAGAAAGAAACGTATAACCCATCAAATGACCAGAAATCACCACAGAGGTACAGGAAATATGAGAAACCAAGAAAATACTTCTCCCCCAAGGGAAAAGAACAACTTCTCTTCATCCACAGATAGTACAATGGAACTCATGGAAATGTCAAATAAAAAATTTAGAATATTCATAGTGACAAAGCTAACAGAGATGCAAGAGAAGAGAGACAATGAACGCCCAGAAGAGGCAAGAGAAAAGAGCTGACGAGATCCAGGAGGTGAGGAAGTTCTCACACTATCTGAAAGAGGAAATATACACTGTAGAAAAGAATCAAATGGAATTGTTAGAGATGAAGGCTGTAATACAGGAAATAAAACCTCCCTTGAAGGTATTAAAAGATTAGATCATGCAAATTTGATCAAGGTCAAATCTCAGATGTAGAAGACAGAATCTCTGCTCTAGGGGGGAAAAAAAAATACAGAAAATACTAGATACCATTAAATGCCCAAACATCTGGATAATAGGTATCCTAGGACGTGAAGAGACTCATAAGGGCATTGATAATCTATTCCATAAAATCCTGGAAGAAAACTTTCCAAACCTAGAGAGGCATTCAAAGATCCAAATCCAAGAAATACAAAGGACCCCACATAGAATCAAACCAAGAAGACCTTCTCCAAGGAACACATCATAGCCAGATTGGTCAAAACACAAGGACAAGATACGAAAATTGGCAAGAGAGAAGTGTCAAGTTACTTTCAAAGGCTATCCTATCAGGCTAACAGCAGACCTCTCATTGGAAACAATGTGAGCAAGGAAAAAAATGGGAAAATATATTCAAAATGTTAAGTGAAAAACAATTTCAACCAAGAATACCATATCCAGCAAGATTATTCTTCATATGGGAAGAAAAGTCAGAAACATTCTCGGATAAACAAAACCTGAAAGAATTTACCAACACCAGACTGGCTTTCCAAGAAGTTCTGAACAGAATGTTATACTAGGAAAACTAAATACAGACACACAGAAATAATTCAAAAATAACCAAGAAAATGGCCAACTTAATGGCAGGGTCAAATCCAGAGCTGAATGTTATCTTCCAGAATTTAAACGGAAAGACTGGACCACAACGGAAGAGAGATTAATTTACATGAGACTCAACTGGTGAAATAGAATTTTATGACTTTTGACTAAAATGTTACTGATTTTCTTCTAGGCTTTGTTTTTTGGTTTTAAGGATTTTTGTCTTCTCTTGAGCTGACGATAGGTTCATGTACCTACTATTTGAGCAGAATCCTAACCTGTTTCCTGGCTTTAAGTCTTAAGCAAATTTCTCTTAACATTTTTTGCCCTATAGCAAAAATCTCTCCAAAAATATTACTAATAATGATAAACAATTCTTTAAAAGAATAAAATGCTCTCCCCTCAGTGGATTCTTCTCCTGAACTCTCTTTTTTTTTGGAAAGTTTTTTTTTTTTTTTTGCTATAGGGCGCGTGCGCTCACCAGAAAGACAGAGACAGAGAGACAGAAAGTGAGAAGTCACCCCCCAGGGGGGATGGCCACACCACAGTCCCTTCTCCTCCTTTCTCCTCTCGGGATCTTGGACATGCACGCACATGTGCCTGGTGTGATTTTAAGCCACCAGGTCCAGGGCTTGGACCATGGTCAACTACATGGGAGTCCAGCGACATAACCATTACACTCACTGCTGGTCCCTTTTCTTGAACTCTTAAAGCACATGGTCATCACTGGTTTGGCACTTAATTACAGCCTATCCCTCACCTATCCAATATGTTTTCTACTGAACTATGAAGGTCAGAGTCCTTGTTATTAGACATTTATTATGGCTGGCACATATGTCTTGATAAATCACATGTGGGTGTGCTGAGTAATAGTAATTAAGTCACTTTGGAGAGTACTGGGGTTTCCCATGCCCTTGACATCTGTCATTGTGTGATAAGCACACGCATGTGTGTATTTTCTGGGGCGCGGGTCTGTGCTTTCCATTATGACCTACTTGGTTGGTATTGTGGTTAGGAACCAAATTCAGAAGGAATCCCAGAAATATGAGAGGTACGAATTCAGCTGGGACGACCTGGGCAAGTACATGGCTGCTGAGAAGAGACTAAGGCCTGGTGACATCTGTTCATCATACCAGGTAAAAATGCCCAATTTATAACATACCTAGAAATGACATAAATAAGTAAAATTAAACTTCAGGTTCTTACAAGGAATTTTTTCTTTCTCAGTGTTACTGCAATTTAAAGATCAGTTTTGTTACAGAAAGAGGACAGGTTAACAGCGATGGAGATAGGGTGGCCAGAGAGGTGACATCTGAGCAGGACGGAATGAAGGGAAGAAGTCATGTGGAAGCCCTGAAGCAGAAGGGAGCTTGCTTGTCTGAGGAAGACTGCAAGTGAGCAAGGAGCCAAGTGGGAGGAAATGAAATCTCAGCGATGTTTTTCCATCATACAGATACAGGTTGAGCATTTAATTTCTTATTGATTGTGTAAGTTCCTATATTGATGTCATAATTTCAAACCCTGAGTAGGACCAGTATCTTACTATTATATTTTTGTAGTTTACAAATGAGGGAAAACTAGAAACACGGGGTGGAGGACTGTTGCAATGAGAGAATGTTCTGGAGTCAGAGAAGCTGGCCTGGAATTCAGGGACCTGCCATTTGTTAACCTGTATACCTTGGGCAAGCCACCTAGCTGCCAATAGCTGTTTCTCTGACTGAAAATAGAAATCATGATGTCCATCCCTTTCCCCTGGGTTACATGGCAATCAGACAAGGTGGTTTGTGTGAAAACTGCAAGTTCATCTCTCGGTATATGGTAGCTGAGAAACAGAAAGAAAACTTAAAAGTATGTTTAACAGTATTTTATTCACAATGACACTAAACTAAAAAAAAAAAAAAAAAAATCAAGATCAGCCCTGTAGCACAGCAGTTAAGTACGCTCACATGGCTGACTGCAATTAGAATCCCAGCCCCAGTGGCTTGAAAAACATCGTGTGTGCGTGCGCATGCACGTGAGTGTGGTGTTTGTGAGTGTGCATGCATGTATGCATACAAAATTCTGATGGGGTGAAAAAATGGACGAAAAAGGACTGCAGCATGACTATGCCCCATGGTGGGGGTGCTTTCTCTCTCTGGTGAATGCCCATGTCCACTGGCAATAAAAAAAAAAAAAAATCAGCTATGATTCTGGGCCAAGCAGTGTGTTAGTAAGCTACTATGTAACCTTGTTTAGTCTTTTCAACAACCTTAAAAAATAGGTTCTGTTGTTATCCTCATTTTATGAAGAGGAGCAGAGAGCCTTCAAAAGGATTTGGGATGTGCCCAGGGTCACAGATACTGCACCCTAAACTTCAAACTCTAAATGTCAAGCGTTTTATTTAGAAATAAGTCTCACTTATTTTAATTTAGACAAAGTTATGATCAACTTGTTTATCGGATTTCCCAGCCCATTGTTTTTCAGTACTTCTAAATTAAACAAAGACAAGCAGATTTTGCTGGGGCAGACACAAGACAGGAAAATAATTGATTATCAAGAATAGAGATACACTCACACAGGCACACGTACACACATGAAAATGAAGCAATCAAAATGAAACTAAGGGAGGGAAAAAGGGCACATATAACAGGCTTTGCACCTAGCACCCAGAGACACTGTGGATATGCCTGACACATTTACTGAGGCTCCTAAGAAATGGCACCAAATCACCAAAGGACAGATCATCTAACTAATAAAGAGCAGTGCATCATGAAATTTAAAATATCTGTTCAAAATGCTTAAAATTAGAAAATAAAGAAAAAACATATGGGATACCTGATTTCCAAAAAACATTGGGTTAAATAAGTCATACTATATTTGAAATATTAACATAATATTAATATATATATGCTCCATATTTTTATATAAAGTTCCAAACCAGGCAAAACTATTAATAAATGATAGCACGAGGTTTGTGCACTCCGGAGGTGAAAGTAAAAAGCAAAGCCACATTGTGTGCACTGTCCTAGTCGTGAGAGGGCTTTGCCTTTAGGATGGATTTGTGACTGGGAAGGAGTCGGTGGGGCAGCAGTGCTCTACTTCCTGCCCTCAGGGCTGGTGCCATGGGCGTCTACTCTATAGTGACTCATTACTCTGTGTTTGTATAATTAAGCACTCTTCTGTATTTTGCATAATCACAATAAATAATGTTTAGAAAAGAATTGGAATTGGAACCAGAAGATGGCCTAATGGTTATGTCCCTGGACTCCCACTTGGTTGACTGTGGTTCGAGTCCCAGACCTGGTGGCTTAAAACCAAGACACATTATAGCCAGGTTGACCAAAACCACAGACAAAGACAAGATACTTAGATTGGCAAGAGAAAAACATCAAGTTACCTACAAAGGACATCCCATCAGGCTAACAGCAGATCTCTCATCGGAAACAATGTGAGCGAGGAAAGAATGGGAAAATATATTCAAAGTGTTAAGAGAAAAGCAATTTCAGCCAAGAATACTGTATCCGGCAAGATTATCTTTCAGGTGGGAAGAAAAGACAAGAACATGCTCAGATAAACAAAACCTGAAAGAATTTACCAGCACCAGACCAGATCTCCAAGACGTTCTCAAGGGTGTGCTATATCAGGAAAATTAAACACAGACACACGGAAAGAAGAGTTCAAAGACTAAGAAAGTGGCCAACTTAATTGTAGGGACAAGTCTGGAGTTGAATATTATATCCCAGAATTTAATCGGGAAAATTGAACCAGAATAGAAGATAAAGTACATGAGACTGGTAGGTTCATGCACCTATCGCTTGAACAGAATCCTAACCTGTTTCCTGGCTTTAAGCAAAGTTCCTTGGC